TTATTTCAAATACGTTGAGCATCACATGATTAAACCACATGACTATCGAGGGCAAGATTTTTTGTCCCACACTGTATTGTAGGCATTTTATCCCCCACTTTGTCAACTTAGTTGGGCCAATATTTTCAGCGACCAATGATGTATTAGTAAATATACTACAAACCATGCTCGCTTTGTTCTCGATAGATAATGAAAGTATTGCATGTTAATACAACAATGTCTATTATGCGTTGAAAATCGTGACTCGTAATGACCAGACATTATTGTATAATTTCGTCTTTATTGTGGATGAGTGAAAGAATATTGACTTAAAACAATTAATAATGTCAGTCTCTCTTTGTCGTCATTTGATAAACTTGTTGAAACATGCAAAGAATGATCATATGTGCACGTTTGACGATAGCGAAGTTAATGGTAGTATCGAATTGCCTTTGTAAATTGCTGGGTATCATTCGCCGGCAATTATTTCGCCGACGAATTCAACTAGCAAAAACATGATACCGTATACTACCGTGAATAGCACCCATCGTGAATAAGCACCCCCCTATAAGTAAAAGCGCCGATCGTGAATAAGCATCCCCCCAAGATTACCTAGATTAACTGCATGACGTGCCCCCTACTCACAGTTAATTACGTGAGTATACAAAATAATAGTACGCTTCTAGTTACTGCAATTACTGTTGTAAGCTACCCCTCAACGCTGTTGCGGATTATACTTTACGTAATAATTTACCGATCATTTTAATAATGCCGTGAAGGGTGGGTGCTTATTCACGGTAGTAAAAAACGCAACCCCAGTTTTTCTTCTCATCCGAACGAATGAATATGATGGATAGTGATCAAGTATTATTACACCACTTTTTCTGCTTTGAATGATTTATTAACATGATTATGTCAAAGGTTGGCTTTTTTTACTGAATACATTATTAATAAAGATCGTTTGAAACGATATCTGTTCAATTGATCGCTCATACACTATTACAACGTAATCCCTCTGTCCAATTATCAATCCTTGATTCATTTATGTGTACCTGTGTGTGCATCTTTCCTGCGTGTGTTTCCAACTTAACCTGTGATTCATTTATGTGTTCCCCAACTTAATCTCTCACATGTGCCCTTTACGTTTAATTGGGACATAGCTATTGTTAAGTACTTAACAGCGGCTGTTGCAAAGAAACAAAGTAATATCATTACAACGTATTAATATACTGAATGGTGAGCGCAACCGATTAGCCGCTATTTCAATCATGAAAATTCTAAGCCCCTGCAGCGAACGTGTTAAGAGTTACAACAAAAGATACTTCTGTTTTGACTATCTCTACAGCTACCTGTCTGTGCATGCGCCTTTACTATCACACAGTATCTTCGACCACTACTCAACGTTATTTGTCGCTCCTTAACTCAAAAAACCCAGTTGTTGTCCACTAGTTCAAAGCATTGCATCCAAACACATCCTAGTCGATACTTTCCATTTGTTCTATCTATCATAATAACAACAAGAATGTTACAATTATATCATTAAAATGACTTTTAAATGATCAACAAGAAATATGACAATATTAAAACATATGAAATCCAATACTTTTCTTCACTCACTTTTTTGCGTCATTCGGAAGCCAGTTGATGTGAAAAAATGCATATTTTTATTCATATCCTAATTACGAAATTCCAGTGTAATGTGTTTCACCCATTGATCGTTTCACTATTGTCGATCATATGATGGATGAAACACTTTACGTAACTAGGATATGAATAAAAATATTATACATCTTTTCACAAACTACAAATCAATTGGCTTCCGAATGACGCAAATTTATTACAAAAAAGTGGGTGAAGAAAAGTATCGAATATTCATATGTTTTTAAATAATAAATTTTGCCGATCCGGAAATAATTTTGCTGAGTGTAGTACTTTTTTTTTGTAAAATTAACGCTGTACTCGATGTTGTTATGATCTTTTTCAAACGGCCATCTTGTCACGGCAGCTTCACTTTCGGATTTTTTTCTTTTTTTCGAACAAAATTAAAAATTCAATACTTTGAACGAAGATTGGATGAATTGGATCGGATGTGGAAGAAACAAATCAACATATTTTGAAAGAACCATATTGCATATTGGCGTCCTTTGATAGAGATGAGTAATGAGAACAAAAGTGTGAAGACTGTTATAATAACAATATTTGCTGTGACAACATATTCTTAGATCATTTGTTTTTTTTTATGAATAAAGTTATCTCATTCAAATGTCGGTTGCAAATACTCAAGTTGACGTTAATAGTCTATGACAAAGCAATGTTTTTGTAACAAAACTTAAATAGTCACTTGCCAAGAAATGAAGTTGGTTAGTAAATCGGACGGGCCACATGTATTATAATATTATACGCTCTTACGGGGTCTGAGCGTGGCTACTAATTCGCCGAGGAAAGTGATTTTACCGAAAGAGAGGAAAAGTAGTGTTGATGGTATGGTGGAAGTAGAATAAGAGTGAGAACAAAAATGACAATATTGAAGTGATATACGCAGTGAAACTCGATAAGTCGGCCGCATAATATATATTGTTTAAAGTAGTTGATATATAAATTATGCGGTGTGTATGCAGTATGTGTGTCACCACGTTTAGTATGCTTATGCAAAATGATAATATGTGCGTTCATGGTGTTGGGTAAGCCAGGTAGCCAACATTATGCAATAGTTTCGTGTCCAACCATATTGGAGATATCACCTGACATTGGCGTATGTATATTTATAGCGATAGGTCTTAGCAATGTGGGGTAAACTGTTGGTGTCACAATATTTTAATCAACAAAGCACATGTGGACAGTCAAATTTTCCGATACCAGGCGAATAAATATATTTTTATATAGACATTCGTATGCAAATTGTTTGAAATGTACTGTATAATTTGGAATAAAATCATATATATACACATTGGAAAGCGCTTTTCTTTTTGGCCTGCAGACTGTCTTCCATATAACAAGCAAAAAACCCAATTGACACAATAACGATAATAAAGACTTTGATTCTGATCAATGGATGATACTTCGCAGGGACATTATTGCAGAGAATATGTGCATGGTAATGTCGATATGGTTCTATAAATGCTTTTGTTTAAATGGCCGCTAATGCAGTCTCACCATAATAATGTCCTCTCCATTAATCTCAACGACTATAATACAAATAGATGGTAATGTCAATCCTCCTCTAACATTCACTACTTGTCATACCCACCCTTCTCATATTCAAAATATCCGTTCGCCTGCTACTTCCCTTTTTTCTCATGGTACGTATATTCTTTCGATTCAATGCCGTAACCTAATTCATACTCCAACTCATAGTTACCTCAATAAACAGGTCAGGTCAACGACAATGTCTATCCTCCTCTTATAACCACCACTTGGCAAACCCAACCTTCTCATATTCAAGATATCAGTTCGCCTGTTACTTCCTTTCCTTCTCATGGTACGTATATAAATATTTAATCTTTCAGTTCAATGCCGTAACCTAATTCATACACTAACTCATGATTGCTTCAATAAACAGGTCAGGTCAATGACGATGTCTATCCTCCTCTTACAGCCACCACTTGGCAAACCCAACCTTCTCATATTCAAGATATCAGTTCGCCTGTTACTTCATTTCCTTCTCATGGTACATATATAAATATCAAATTTTCAGTTCAATGCCGTAACCTAATTCATACTCTAACCCTCAATAATAGGTCAGGTCAACGACGATGTCTATCATCCTCTTACAACCGACACTTGGCAAACCCAACCTTCTTATATTCAAGATATCCGTTCGCCCGCTACTTCCTTTCCTTCTCATGGTACATATATAAATATCAAATTTTCAGTTCAATGCCGCAACCTAATTCATACTCTAACTCATGATTACCTCTCTCAACAATTACACTAAATAGGTCAAGCAAACGGTAATGTTCCCATTCAAACGGTTACCCTTTGCGGTAATGTCCCCAATCTTCCAGTTCCAGTGGATACAACGTTATATCGCTCAGTCTCTTATCACAAATTGGTTCCAGACATCGACGCCTCCATGCATAATAAGTTGAATGTACCGAGTCGTAATCAAATGCAAACTCACGAATACCGCCGCTGTTCCTATTGTGGCGAGTTCACATACTTTTACGTTAGGCAGTTGAATGTACCGCGTCGTAATCCAGTGGAAACTCGCGAATACCGCTTTTGTTCACGCTGTGGCGGACGTTTACTTACTGTCACTATCGCCATGTAAAACGGCTCTAATGCTAGTTCAATTGGAGTTGCATAATATAGACGACGAATTCTCTTTGTTGAGAGTTTCGTATTAAGTTTATTAGATTAGCTTTCCTTAGTGTATTGCTTTTCTGTGATAAGGTTTATATCATTGTTGTTATCGTTATTATTATTTCAATAAATCGTCAACCAATCGCAAAGTGAAGATTACGATCACGGGTGGGGAGACGAATTCTATACTTTCTCATTCCCGCAAAAACGCCGTCTAACACTAAGTCAAACCATAGTTCCAATCACCAAAAAGAAACTTTATTCTATCTTCCCGTCCGTTCAATGGCTGTATATTCGGTTGATTACCATTCGTTGATTTCTGACACAATAAAAGTAGATGTGTCTGAGCATAGCGATCTGATTAGTGCCAGTGGGTATGAAGGGTAAGTAGCATGGCAAGGGCCAAAAACATTCCATATGAGGCAACGTGTGCTTCTAGTCATCACCTTCCTGCTATCAGTTTTTCATTGACAATTATAATTTATTTCAACGCTTTTATCTCCCTTCTCACCCTTTTTCTATTTGTACCAGTCTGTTGCGGATTTCGCTATGGCGATGACAAATAATTTTAACACCTGCATTATGAAAGTTATCAAAAGCGACTTTCCGCACCGAACGATACAGTAGGTTTAAAACTTAGATTCAATTTTCCACGCGACATCCTATCTTCAACTCCGATGTCTCGTGCGAGCCGTCAACAATTAGCCTTGGGTTAATAGTATTGTCCGATTCGGACCACAAATTCCACCACTGAGAGGTGAGAATGGATTCGCAAGTGTGGACTTGCCGAAGAAAAGGTGAATATTGGATCTTGTTCTCGATAAAGGGACACGACCCACCATTAAACAGATCACGGTTTCATGTCATACTCTTTTATTTTGATCGGAAACGTGAGATAATATGATTAACATAGTTTGGTTGGACGAACGGTTGAACAGCCACTTTATTTTATAGTCGTGCAATATCCAAACATTTCAAACTGCACGCCAGTTTCCCAAATATGCCAATGGCATTTTACGTAAGTCACCTTTACTTATAAACATAGAATCTAATTATCAGTTAAGCTGTCATCGTATGCTCATTTTCGCTACCACATTATGCTCTCAACTTATAGAATTCTTTTCCTCTTCAATTGGTGTGCGCATAGCCCACTGGGGGTGTTTAAATGAACTCGGGCAAGAATGGTTCCTCAAATTGATAAGACTATGCCTTGTTTGGATTATGAGAATTCAGTATTGAAACCAAGTTACGCGTGATCCAGAGAGAGAATTCAATTCAATTGATAATTTCGTGGCGATAGTGAAAAACTGACCAGGCTAATCAGCGACAACAGGGATTGCATAGTTAGCTCTCGATTTGGTGCGCATTTACATATCTGTTTACATCTTCAACGAACTCGATAAGTGCAGAGTTTTACAATGAGCGAGGTCCCCGATCCACTCGGTCCTTACCTCCAATCCATTGCCCGAGCATGCCAGGCGGTTAACCGATAACGAGCTGTTGTATTTCTCCGTCGTGAAATGCGTCTCGCCCTCAAAGGAGGCCCGCTCCTCTACAAACGTTGTCTGCCAAGTCTGGGCAGTCACAGGCATGATCTCCGCTCGGTTAGTCTAGCTGGCCATTGCTGACTAACCGAGAAACGTTTGACGAATTAAAAGGAACGGGGTTTTGGCCGTTTTCTGAATCATTTGCCAGCATTTTGTATATAAAGTTGAAAATTTCTTTCGGACTAAATACGACCGTTTTATTTGGTATATGCCGATGGCTTCGTCTCTGTATTAGTCTGTCATCATTGTTAGTTCTTCTATGATCTGTTCATCAGAGCTCCGCTCTTTGCAAGCGGTCTCGATAAGGACACGTTAATTTGCAATGAACCACTTGTCAGATAAACTCTATAATCAATTCATTGTCAACAGTCTTTGGGAATAAGATAGTTGTCATGTGTCCAAGGTTGTCGCTGCGTGTGAACGTTGTGATAATCACCAAATGTTTAGCACAAGAACATCGTCCATGTATACTTACAGTATGTGTGTTGGATATTCTTTTCTTGCTGCTTTTTGTTCCGTTGTGTTTAATCCTTCATTGTACATCGTTTGGTTGAGGTTACACGATGTCTTATAGTATGTCTTATTAACTATCGCTACCCTAACAAAATATTGGCATTTTGTTGAAAGCTATACTTGCCCAGTCTATATTTATAATATCTAGACCTTCAAAAAACGATACAGTGATTTAAATTAGACCATTAAACATGCGTTCTAACCAAGAAAGCACTATCACGTAATTAAACTAAATGTTGTTTATCGACGAATTATCCACCATTGACGTGCCGAGATTATCGGATTGGTTTTGAATCAGTAGAAGGCTAGGTATCGTATATAGAACAGTCGGAAGCGTAATACTGTGTACAATAATACAATTGAAATATGACAAAAAGTGGACGGCCCAATATAACTTTCGGAGAAGAATGTTCGTTCACTGGTGTGCATAACAAAGAAGACCAGGCTGCATTATCTACTGCGAAACTACGTTCTCAAAAAACATGGTAACGAATAACCACCGAAAATTTTGAACAAAGTTTTGAAAAAAAGAACGATCTCTTAAATCTCAAACC